AATAATTTCCGTAGGTTTGTCTCTCGTACGGCAATATTTTTTCTTGTTGTCATCCTTTCTCCTGTCTCCACATGTTTCTATGATTTTTATTCTTCCTTTCCCTCTTCCTACCCTGCACCTCATCCTGAGGAATGTTCATCTTATCAAACCATCTCTTTGCTTAAGCAAAGTTACGTTTTTTCCATTTTGCTTTGGTAACTTAATTGACCAAAATATAAACAAGGTAAGCAACTTGTCTAAGGTTGCCTTTGGACCAATTTAGAGTATGGAATCGTGTCCTAAACCAGCCCGTGGCCCATTTGATCGGCCCACAGTTGTGGGGCTTCAGTGTCATTCAGCAGGAGGGGGTTTCAGCAGTCACCTTGCCATGCTGCTGTAAGGAAAAGCTCAGGCTGTGAGCTGTATTTGAGCCTCCATCTCCCATAAATCAAATGAGTGCCCATTGAGCTCTAGGGTGTACAAGATCTTCATCACCAAAAGAATGGCACCTCAGTTCCCTTGTGAGTGAGGCTTGAAAAAATAAAGCTGTTTATGTTGGTATTCCTGAAATTAATAGTTTTGACATTTGTAGTTATTTAATTTTGGTTTTAGCCAAGCAAAATGTTTATTTTCAGTGAATCAGTAACTCACCAAAATATTTGCTGGGTTCTACTATGCTGCTTTTCACCCACTTGTAAAATAGATATAATATCTTAAGCTATTAATGTGTTTTGTGGAATGGATGGAAGCTGCTGTATAACTAAGAAATAGGTAAAAACCATGACTAACTGCACTAATTCAGGTAGAGAGGGAATAGGGGGAAAAAAGAGTACAGTCTGTCCAGTGAGTAAACAGGTTTGAAGAGGAACTCTCACCTTAGCAGCCAAAGAGGCTACGAAGGGATGGTTGGAGAGTTTACCTATGTCAAGAAAAGGAAAAAAGCTCCTATCTGCCTTCAGCAGAGAACAAGGAACCACTCCTGTTAACTTTGCCTCCTGTATTTCAGTCCCTGTACCTTTTAGATGTTCTGAACATGGCTTAGCAAGGGATTATACATTTGTTCCTGAATTCCATTGTCATTTCATCTGTAACAACTGACTGAACTATTGTTTTGTATTATAGACTAAATGGATTATAAATTGAGGACTCTGAAATAAAGCAATATATGAGTTTTTGCAGTTTAATAATTTTTCATTATAGCTCATTAAATGATTTGCTCAGTCATGCCATTACTGAACTAAGACCAGCTTGAAGCTGCCTAAGTCCCCAGGGCCTGTATTTGTTTGTATTTTCATTGGCACGCTGATTTGAGAGCAGGAAATAATATAAAAGTGATTGCACTGGATATTTAAGCACAAACAGTTTTCAAAGGACAACACTTTGGCATGTTACTTTATTCTTCATTCTGTTTCCTTTGCACTTGGTAGTCTTGGTCCAAGCAGCTTTTATACTGCATCCTGTTTCCTTCCTCACTCTGAAGTCAAGCTCTAACATCCCTGACTGTCTCTTTCCCCCTAGTTGGTCTCACTATGGTTGTACTGCTCACATCTGTGTTTTTTACTTGTTTATATATGGGTTTAGTTTATTAGTAAATGTTGAGTTCAGGCATGTCAGCATTTAAAGAGAGGGGGCGGGGAATTCACATATGAGCTGTAAGTGCTTAATTGAGATAAAGATGTCCCCTTCCTGTTCATCTGTACTTACTTCTAGGACTGGCCCTCCAGACCATAAAGCCATCTGAAATGCAGCTAAATCAGGTCCGTCTAACTGAAAGCCTGTGCGCCACATGCAACCTTGAGAGGCTTAAGTTGTAGCTCCCAGGCTTCTGCTTGGCCATTGCTCCCCCTATCACTCCAGCTAAAAGGGCAGTTGAGCATTAGGCTTCCCATTCCTCTTCTGGCTGCTGTTTCCTGTCCCTACCCCAGGGAGTGGAGAAGTGTGGCAGAGAGAGTGGAGGACAAGTCTGGGACTGTGCAGGGGATCCAGTGCAGGGGTTGAATGGGAGGAGTCCGTATGGGTGAGCAATGGGCAGTGTGGGGGGCAACATGCAGTGCAGTGGTGCATGTGTCCATGTGGCCCTGGGAGCTTGTGGATCATGCTGGTGTTGGCCCCCAGCTGCCTGAAAGTTGGACAGTCCTGGTCAAAATGAAAGGTGATGGAATGCTATACCCATTGCTCTGGTGCTGATGTGGGAGGCTGTAAGGATAACTGTGTCCTCATTAAAGATTATGAAGGCAATTGAATAGAAAACGAAAAAGGGAAATTCCTGATTATTGGAGGAATTTGTAGGGGCAACACTCTTATTCAAACTAATAAAGAGTCCAGAAAAGGGTAAACTAGAGTTAGAACAATTTTTCTTAATCTTGCCAAAATTAATTTACCTAACTTGAGACAGAAAGTAAATATTAACTTTATGTGAAGCTTGAAGTAATTGGTGTAAAACAAACACAACCCTAGGCTTTATAGGAAACTTCTTCCACTTGATAGGGAATCAATTTTTAAAAAATCAATTAAAGAGAATGAAGCATAATAGTAAAGGGAATGTAAAAAAGGAGACAGAGAAAAACCTTGAAAAAGTATAAAGAAAATGTTTACACATTTTAGTGTGTTTCAGCTATTGAGAAGACAATTGCAAGCATAAACAATCCAAACTGCTTTTCATTTAACGTGAAACTTTAAAGATTTAGAAAGAACTAAATGTTTTCTTATGAAAAGCTGTAGTCAGCCACACAATTGAACCTACAAGTTCATTTCTGTATTCTTCTGTATTCATTATGTTTAATTTACATAAGCACAAAATAGATCTACAGAAGGAACCAAAGTGTGTTTGTGGGCACTGAGAGAAACAAATGTGACTGGCAGTGTTGGTAAAGATGATCCTTGTGTGTGGGTAAGAAGGCTATGATTATTCCTGTACAGGTGGACAATTCACCAAAGTTGATATTCAAAACAGGTATATCAATATCTAGATTTCTTAGGCCTTTCCCTAGACTATAGTTACTCATCAAGGATTGGAAATAGAAAAGTTGTATTTATCTGTGTAGGGAAGGGGCGAGCCCTTTTGTTGTATTTGGGGAGTTGTTGTAAGTACTATTCAGATTGCTATACAAGATTTATAATCACTTAAGTCTGGGGAAAATATGCACTGGGTTAATAACAAAACCTATACTTTTATTAAGACTTGAAGACATAGTGGCAACAACCTCCTTAAAGAATCTAGAAAATGAGGAAAGCAAGGTCAAATGGAAAACAGTCTTTCTTGATTTACATCTAGCCTTCTCAACAAAGACAGTTTACAGTTTAAGAGACATGAGACTTCAATCAAGTTTTAAGTTAGTCTGCTCTGCTTGACTGAAACATCTTTTTCTTTAGAATTCAGTCTTTATTTTCTATTTAGTAGATTATGCTTTGCCATTCTTCTACTTAATTGTTAGTGTTCATATTGATTGATTGGTTAATTGGCTCTTGGAATGGCATGCCCTGGGAGGGAGATGCTCTCATTTTGGATACATGCTTCAGCAGTTTTGAAAGAATCCCAGTGTTAGGATGATTTGTTTTGTTTTGCATTAGAACAAGCAATTTAACTATTTAAGTACTTGTATTGTTGTTTGCCTCCATCTGACCAAATTCCAGTTCTGCTATTTACATTAAATACACATATTGGTGACAAGAAATAAAAATGTAACATTCAGGTCATCTTTTATGACTGTGTGAACATTAGTTACTCTAAATGACTTTTTAATTTTTGTATTGTGGTTTGCTTCTCGTAGCACTGGTCAGAGAAGATAATTTCCCCCTCACAAAAATATATGAATTTCAGGGGGGATGGGGACGGACACGACCTCATCATTTAATCTCATAGATAATATGTAAAATAAATGGGTTTTTGAAAATCCGTTTTGGGAGAACCGCATTTTTCTGGCTTGCTTCTTAGGTAGCCAGCTGCCCAGGAAATCAGCCGTCCACAAGAGCCATCTGCCTAGAATGCCAGTGAACTTCGGCTACTAGGAAATCTTGATTTTTGTAGCAGTCCATCGGGCAGGCTGTCAGAGGTGGATCCCTTGAAATGGTCAGCCCAATAGGCAGTTAACAGGGATTTGGGGATCCGGGTTTGGGAGTCCTGCAGGTGGGCTACCATAAAGAGGCTGGGATTCCATGGAATGGGCTGGCCTGCCTGGTTTCCATCAACAGTTTCAATGGAACTGAATCAAATCAAATCAGTATTTTCTGGCAGAAAATTGGTCCCCCGGCAAATTTTTTGACCAGCTTGAGTTTTAAGTTATTGCTTTGTTACTGGTCATGTGCTTGTGCAAAAAAGAAAGTTCGTAGCCCATTTTAATTGGAGAATGAGCTTCTTTTGAAGCAGCTATGTGATAAATTTTGAGCAAACTGGTACATGTGACTTTAGATGTGCTGCTCTTTGATATTCTAATTGCATAATATTATTATTATAGCTATTTAGTATTCTGTTTACTTAGATATTGTTAGAGACATACATTATAATTTTAAATACTTGTTATATTTTGAACTGGCAATTGCATCTCTATTTTGGAAAATCTATTGGTGACCCATGCATCTCTGATAAGTATCATAACTTTCCTAGACCTTGAAGGCTTTTGGTCTGATATTTGATACCATGCATGTCCAGGAAGATTATGAAAGAGTGAATAACACAAGGATTATTTATACATTTGGGGTTACTTAAAGCATTTTGGATGTACTTAAGTTCACTACAGTAGTTATAATGAAAAACCAGTTGCTAGTAAAAGATCTCAGTTATGAGAAATGGTTCTTTATATCTAGTCCTCTCTGGCATATTGGACATAATCTGGAAAAAAAAATATTTTACATAACTGGTTGTTGTGAACCAAGATCACTTGTGTAAATGGAACTCCTCTAACAAAATGTTTTTGAAAAACAAATGCTGAGGTATCTTTAAAAGTGGGCATTACACTAGAATAAAGCAGAAGCATCCCTTGCCTTCAGCTAATGATTTTTTTTTTTCTTTTAATGTTTAACAGTAACTGAAGCTGGTTTTGGTGCTGATATTGGGATGGAAAAATTCTTCAACATCAAATGCAGAGCCTCTGGCTTGATTCCCAATGTGGTTGTGCTTGTTGCTACCATAAGGGCTTTGAAGATGCATGGAGGTGGGCCCAGTGTAAGTTTCTGCACCTTTTTGTAACACAAAATAGCATTGGAGCTGCATATAAACATCTTTCTTTTTTAAATAGCTGATATTGCTTTTCATGCAAGCAGCAACTCAGAAATTCTCTTCCTTCACAGCTGTTCGTTCTAGCATTGTCCATGGAGGTTAAAGGGAGCAGCCAAAGGAGCAAGGATTATATAGCTATGAAGATGTCCTGAATTTTAGAAAAGAGAGTAAAGTTTGTTTACAGAAAAAAACAACTTAAAAAAATTATTTCCCATGTTTCTTAAAATAATGTTTTGTAAATCCTAGTATTATGAATTTGTAAGGAAACAAACTCTCCAGGTCTTGATATCTACTTAACTGCTGAGAAGGAAAGCAAAGTTCATATTTCATTGCATGTGTGGAAGGGACTTAAGGTCTCTTGGTAGGTGGAAGGCTTGTGACCTTTGCCACTGAAGTGGTGGAAACTCTCATTTTCCGTTTTTCCACCCACAGGAACACCTCTTTCTTCCCCCTTCTGCTACCTCTTAAAATAGTGAAAAAAAATTTCTCACTTCATTGCAATGAACAGCACCTGGCCTTTTGCTCTCTCAGTTCAGGTTCAGGGTCAGATCTTGGAGACTGCTAATCCTAGAAGCATTCCTCACTTATTTGGGCCAAAGCAGGAGCACTAGTGTATGTGAATGGCACTCTAACCAGGCAAAGATACTGAAAGGCTAAATGTATGCTTCTGCTGCTCCACCCCGGCAATTTTGAGAGGATCGGATGCTGCCAGGGAAACAAGATTTCTGTAGAGCCTCATAATGGGGAAAAATTCCAGAGCTGTTTCTGCAGCCGCAAAACTGTGGAATGCACAGAGCCTTCCTTATAACTAATCATCTCAGACCTAAAGCTGAGCTTTTCCTTTTGTTCAGACCTTTCAATGCCAAACACATTCAAAATATTGTCACTGCAATATTATCTTTCTTTTTCTTCTCACTCAACTTAGGCAGCTTTTATCTTCTGGCATGCTATTCTTCTGTATGTTCCAGGGTTGGTACAGAAAAATTATTATTCAGCCTAGTGACAAGAGTTTTTAAATCTGCCCTTTATACCTATGTGTTTGTTCTATATGTAAAGTGACCACATGTCCTAGCTTAGCCAGTCATAGGCCATCCCAGCCAGTTGGCTAAAATTTGGATGGCTGTTTTCCACAGATTGCCCCCAGGCTCAGTCCCTCCAGGTCTCCTACCCAGCTGCCTGGTCTACCCCTTCCCCCAGCCCTGCTCTGCTGCTCTCTGCCCATTCATGTGCCACCGAGATGCTAAGCACCTTGTGGTGAGTGCCCCACATTTTTCCCCAGAACCACAGGAGAGAGGCCACAGGTTACTGCAGTGCACACTGCTTTCTGGACACAGCCCAGTGGCCCTGGGGGCTTCACCAGGGCTCATCCCCTGCCCATCTTGATCCCTGCAGTGACAGCTTGCACAGTGCTTTGGGATCCCTGCCGCTCCTTGCAGTGTGCATGTGGCTGTGTATGGCTGTTGAGTGGGTGTGTATGGATGTTGGACCAATGGGTGTGCCACTCCTTCCCCCATCCTGGATTTCCTTCAAAGTAATATAGCAGCTTGAGGTCATTTTGCCTAGTCCTGTCGCCTATGGTAATGGAGAAAAGCCCTTCTTTATTCTCCCTCCAGTTGCCCCTCATTTGATGGCTGCTATGAAATCTCCCCTCAGTTTTTTCTGCAGGCTAAATAACCCTAGTTTTTTAGCCTTTCCTCATAAGCAGGGATCCTGGTTTTCTCTGATTAAAAATTGCAAATTCTCTAATTAAAAACCCCAAATCCATGATAAAAAATTAAAGGCCCCGCAGAGCCCCTCCACCCAGCACTGCTGGTGCCCCGCACTCCCCGCCACAGTCTCAACAGCCCTCCTGATGCCCCTCACAACAGCC